CGGCACTGGGCACGGTTCTGGGTGACAACCCTGCTTGCACTGTCCCTAATTGCGATGCATGCGACCCAACAGATGGCAACAAGTGTACGCGCTGCAGTCTTGGGTATACGCTGAGTACTCGAAGCACAGCTTGCGAACAATCCCAAGATGCCTCTCCAGTCTCAGTACCCTTGTTTGTGGGAGTTCTATCTGTGCTAGGGGTGATAATACTACTTTAAACCCTATATTTATTTGGATAAGGTTCTTAAGCAGATACTGAACTTATTCCAAGCATCCCCGCCCCATACTGTGACTAATCTTCATTTCTATAGCTTTTTAGTACAACTTCCTAATTTTCCTCCGTGATTTGAATTTTCAATAAACTTTCGCGCATTGCGCACTATTGATGGTTTTCTTTTTTGAGTTCCACCCCTCTAGCCTTGATTAATGGTAAATCGGTACAGTTGAGATATTTTCGCATTTTTTCTATAAATATACTATTAATTTTAATATAATTTACAATGAAGCGGCTGTCTAAGACAGTAAAAAATACCAATAATAAACGTAAGGGAAACATAGTTTAGATTGAGTCGTCGAGCAGTCCATTATAGTTTCTACGCATACTGCCTTTTCGTTGTATGTGTGTGCTTTCTCACGCTCGAATGTCAAATTTCTAGCTTTTAATAATCGATAATTCAGTACTCATTATATATATCATCGTTTATTTTTGTATATACTTTTATTTTTAATATAATTTTACAAATGAAGCGGCTATTAAGACAGTAGAATATAGCAAGTAACTACAGAGAGAACACGGTGTACTTAGCATCATTAGCTCTACCTTCTCCATTACTAACACACACAAACATTTTTTCTCTATTTGTTTTCTTTTCTTCACATCGTTATTAGTATCATATCCCTAATATTCGCTACATTCATACCCGCTTACTTATTTTCAGCACCATAAATCTAGAAGTTAATTCCCAAGTAATTGATCCAAACACCTACCCTACTACAAACAGTCGCACCTCTTCTTCCCCTGTCACTGCACCTTTCATATTCTACAATCATAATGCACACCCAAACCACATGGATGGCGCTTTTCTGCGCGATGCTCTTACTGATGAAGCTAGCGCACGCGGATAACTTTGCGCTGAACGTTGATGCCTCCCCTCTCTCTGACGATGTGCCGAAATCCGCAGCGCCAAATATGTTGGCATTACCACTGGGCACGGTTCTGGGTGACAACCCTACTTTCACTGTCCCTAATTGCTATAAATACGACCCAACAAATTCTATCATGTGTACTCACTGCATTACCGGCTTCGGTGTGAAAGATGGTACATGTGTACCATGCACTGACAAAAAATGTATATTTTGCGCTACTAGTGCTAACAAATGTACTAACTGCTATCTCAAGTTCACTGTAAAAGATGGCTCATGTGTACCATGTACTGACCCAAATTGCGATATATGTGTCCCATCCGATCCTAGCAAATGTTTAAACTGTAATACTAGATATGGTGTGAAAGATGGCGCATGTGTACCATGTTTTGATAAAAACTGTTTTTCATGCCGCATTGATGCTAACAAGTGTACGATCTGCTATAACAGATACGGTGTAAAGGAAGGCAAATGTGTACCATGCACTGACAAAAAATGTCTCGCATGCAACACTGATGCTAACATATGTACTAACTGCCATCCCGGGTACACTGTGAAAGAGGGAGCATGTGTACCATGTACTGACTCAAATTGCAATGAATGCGTCCCATCTAATCTTAGCAAATGTCTAAGGTGTAATACCAGATACGGTGTGAAAGATGGCGTATGTGTACCATGTACTGACCATAACTGTAAAACATGCAGCACCGAGGTTAACATGTGTATACGTTGCTTTCCAGGTTATGGTGTGAAAGATGGCGTATGTCTACCATGTACTGACCCAAATTGCGATATATGCGTCCCATCCGTTACTAGCAAATGTCTAAAGTGTAATACCAGATACTCTGTGCAAGAAGGCGTATGTGTACCATGTACCGACAAGAATTGTTTGTTATGTAGGACCGATGCTAAGAAGTGTACCATTTGCAATGAAGGATATACTGAGAAAAAAGGTGTTTGTGTACCATGTACTGACAAAAACTGCAAAAAATGTAGCACTGATGCT